CTCTCTTAGGGATCACAGCCATTCAGACTTGTGCTGAGTGCTCTCCAGCTCTTTCAAACAGTTGCCCTATATATTGTGTCCAGCTTTTATCATTATCTTGGCAGGAAGATTAATCTGATACAAGCCATTCCCCTCTGGCTAGAAGCAGAAGTGTTACACTACTTCCATTTATTGAGCCCTTCTCAAAACTGCCTTAGAGTGGGCATCAAAAGTTTCTGTTGGCAGGCGACTGACTTGATCCTAGTTCAGTCAACAGGGAGAGGAATGACTTTATAAGTTGGCCCCCAGGGGCGCTTTGGTGGCTCAGTCCGTTAAGTGTCCAGCTCTTGGTTTCAGCTCAGGTCATGACCTCAGGGTTGTGGGATCAAGCCCCGTGTTGCACTTAGTGTGGAGTCTGCTTGTCCCTCTCCCTCTGATCCTCCCCCACCCCTGCTCGTGCTTTCTCTCTCCAAAAAAATAAATCTTTAAAAAAAGAAAGTTGGCGCCCAGACAAAGCTGAGATATTTAATTGATATCAGACTGAAGTTTAGGCATTTGTTAAAAGTTATGTGGCCCCGAGAACCTGCAAGAATTTAGAAGCCTCTATTTATAGTGCTTCGGATTCTTCTCAGAGGCCCAGACCTAGGCCAAAAGACCATGGAAAATAAGAACCAATTTAATGTGTGACTTGGTGAGAGGGGCATACTTCTGAAGGGAGACTGAAGAATGAGGCAATTAGATAAGACAATTGCCTACAAGGTCATGTCTCTTAGGTTATGAAGTTAATGAGTAAGCAATCATAAACAGCATCCAGTGTCTCTGGGGATTCTGACAAGAGTCAAATATGCTTCACCAGTAAACTCAGGAATGTAAGGAACAGTCCGCCAAAATTACTTGAAAAGATGTTTTGGTGTCCTTAGGTCAGGGTGAGAAGAATCGCTGTGCATGTCTACAGCTCTGGGTCACATACCCAAAGGAAATTTCTGGTCGTTAGTAACCTGGGTGAATGGAGAGGGTCCGTGCTTTCTTTAGTGAGTGGTTTATCAGCCAGGGTCTAGTCGCATCTACCAATGGAACAGAGAACTTAACATACAGAATTGTTAATCAGGTATTGGACAAGTCAGCTGGCAAAGAGGAGACACGGAGGAATCTCAGAAGTGCAAAGTGCAGGAAGCAGGTACCACCCTTAGAAGGAGGGAAACAAAAGCCCCAGTTGGGGATGGTTGACTTCGAAAGGGCTTGGAGGAGGGCCCAGGCCGGCTGGTACTGCTGGCTCTGAGGGGAGATGTCCTGAGGCTGCCTGTGGGAGGAAAAGCTGCAAACTGATCCCAGGTGCTGCCACTGGGCCCACCTGTCTGCCCCAGGATGTTGACAAAGGCAGGAAACAGGGATGAGCGGTCTCTTCTCACTACCCCCACCCCACCCCAGCCTCCCAGCCGCCCTCCAGTGCCTCCTACAGGCGGAGCCCCACAAAGCGGAACTGGGGTTTCGGACTTCCAGCCCCAGCATCCCAAAATGCGGAAAAGGCCTGAAGCTGAGAGACAACAGCTTCACAACCAGCACGCCAGGAAGTTTAGACTCAAGTGGGAAGATTTAAGAGAAACAAACTAGAGCACTAAGACTTTTATGTAAGGAAGGAATCTATGCATAGTTGGTATTTTAGACACATGTGGTATTTAAGAGATTAAGGCCCTGATCGGTGACAGTTTTATAATCCATTTTAAAATGTATAATTGAGTAATTAATTAAGACTTGTGATTTTTTATGGTGTCATCTAAGCTTAAGTAGAGTGTGAAAACATTTAAAGTTTCCCTATTTATAAGCTTAATTTATTAGTTTCTATAAGAAGTTAGAAGGGGAAGATTTTATATGCTGTCAGAAAAACTGAAGTACTTAAAAAAGAAATATTAAATTTATAAATGTATTTAAAAGTGTTTGAAGTGCTGAGCTACGCTTGTAAATAGGACCAAGCGTTATTTAAAGATTTCTCCAAAATTAATGCTAGAATCTGCTAGACTTATAAATAGAATAATAAAATTTGTGAGTTGAACTTAAAAGCCAAAGAAAGGCTTTTAAATTTGTATCTTAAATTGAATATTGATTCTAAAGACATTATTAACAGAATTATTTATTAAATGAATACTAATTAAACTTATTAAAATGCTATTTTTAAATCCAAATTTAAACTTAACGAATTTTTCAAGAAAAAGACCCACTGAAATCTTTTCTGCATAGGAAATCAGCCATTCAGGACAGCAGACTCTCCACACCCTCACTCCCTCCCCTCGTGAGGTTTTTTTAGAAGTGGCTGGAGAAGAGCAAGATAGGCAGCTTTGCTTCTCCACTCTCTGGAAACCCTGAAACCATCTCACCATGTAGCAAGCTGAGGAGGATATGCCCCTGGCTTAGTTGTTCTGCTTCCTCATCCTCTACCAAGCCAGGACACCTCATGGAAGAGAGGAAGGATGGTCACTGGACATGGGGTAAAAGAACCCAAGCCTCAGTTTCCCCATCTGCAAAACGGGAGCGATACCTGCCTTGCACAGTTGTTGTGAGGGTCCGTGTAGTGCTTGGCACACCAGGGCAGAGTTTGACGCTCCTTTTTGCTGGATCTTTCCTGGGTTAGGGCCAGGAGGTTCTTGCCTGAGCACACTGGCCAGGAATACTCCCGCTTACTTCTTGGCAGGAGAACTTCTTCAAAGACCTGGCCTCGTGCCAACAACAGGCACATGTTCCGGGCCCTGAAGGAATCAGGCCAGGAAAGAAGCAGCCGGCTCGGGAGCAAAGCACCAGCCCTGTGCACAAGTTAGCGCTGCACAGGGACTGGCAGCCTCGGGCTGGAGCAGGAAGGGGGGGCTGCTGCAGGGAACGGCTGAGACCTGGCCCCCATCCGTGTTCCCAGGTCACTGGGCCACGTAGCCTCAGCTGGAACACGGTTAGAGGGCAGCATGGGTAAGGCCTCTGCCTGCGGAGAAAGCAAAGGGGGTGGAGGTCTTTTGTACAAATAGGTGGGAGGGAGGGAGTAGCAGTCAGAATTACCACCATCCCATTAATTCGTCCAATGCACCTGACTTAGCACTTCCTCTGCATTGCTAAGCCCTAGGCAGGCAAACACAAATCCCACATACTGTTGCCTTCCTGGGATAGCACCTGCACGCGTGTGGAGGCAGAAACATCTCCTACCTGGAGAAGAGGTCGGCAGGGCCCGCAGGGAGAGGGGGCAGCTTCCAGGACACCGAACCATCCAGTGAGCCTGACATCTGTTCACAGGGAGTCACAGAGCAGCAAAGGAGGCCAGAAAGGCAGCTGGGGTCAGCTTGGAAAGGACCTTGAAGTCACGTTCAGGTGTGTGGATGTTTTTGGAAAGCTGGGAGAAGTTTTAACTAGGTTTTAGAAAGATCCGCTGGGGCCGCCCATGGGGAGAGATGGAATCTGGAGGCAAACACAGGGAGTACCCAGTGGCAGAAGTCCAGACGGGAGGATGCGGGCCTGACAAGCATATGAGATTAGAAATCGGAGAGGGAGCTGAGCAAGAGACTCCAGAATCCTAGTGAGTGTGGGAGTCCGGGCCAGGGTGGGTGGAGGTCTGGCTTGAAGGCCCCTAGACACCAAGACCATCACCCGCCTGCCCACTGCAGTTTCATCTCCGCAGGGCCCTGGGCACCCCCTATGGTGGCTTTTCTCCTTCCAGGAGAGATGCTAGCAGTCCAGATGGAGATCATGCTGTGCTGTCTGGGTGGGCCCGATGGAATCACAGGGCCTTAAACATGGGAGGGGGAGACAGAATGTAGGCTGCTGCGATGCACTTGATTTGAGAGGGACTCCCCCCACCGTTGCTGGCTTTGACGCTGGAGGAGGTGGCCCAGAAGCCCAGCATACAGGTGGCCTCCAGAAGCTGGCAAAGGGGAGGGAATGCATTCTCCCCAAGCCTCTGGCCAGGGGCACAGCCCTGCCGACACCTTGATCTTAGCCCCATGAGACCCACGTCACACTGCAGCCTACAGAACTGTGATAATGAATGTGTGTGGTTTTTAAACCACTCAATGCCATTACCATCTGTGGTCACTTGGGATGGCAGGGACAGGCAACAGAAGCCGATCGTAAGGCTGGCTCGAGTCAACTGCAGAACTTCTCTAGCCACCCGACCCAGGGCCGCCCTCTCCTCTCCCCCAGCCACTGCATTTTGTCATTTGATGTCTCCCAGTGTTGGTCATTATTTGAAATGTATCTGTTGACCTGATCACCAGCCTTCCCCCGTTGGATGGTCTCCAGGAGAGCAGGCAGGCCCCTTGCCTGGCTGTCCATTGCTGCATCCCCAGCACTAGAAGGGCCTGCAACGCGATGGCAGCTCCACACATACTCAGTGAATAGCTGAGCAGATGTAGGAGTCGATGTGACAGTGCACCGATGAGGTGAAATCCGCCGAAGCACAGCTCTCTCCCACCTTATGGCTTCAGAAGGCTCAACACGAATGGACATGCCCCGCTTTGCATCCCCCAGGATTCCCAATCAGCTTGGGTCACACCGCGTTGAATGCTCTTACTAATAAGCCTTCAATCTCAGGTCAACTCTGCTCCAGCGGTCCTAGGAAAACCTATGCAGAGAGTAGCAGATTATAGATTAAAGTTTCCATCTGCCAAACAGAATCGGAGGGGAGTATATGAAGAGAGAGTCCATGAGGAGTCACGGTAAGTGTCCCCTCTGGCTCAAACGCTCGGGAAGAGCCCAAGCTGGCTTTAGAAGAGGACTGGCCTTCCCAGACTGTGTTCAGTGTTTTTCAAGCTCTGCAGACAGGCTGCTTGTCCAGGAAATGACCTGCCAGTCCAGCTGAGGATGGCAAACAAAACCCGGGGGACACCGGCCAAGGTAAGGCTGCTGCCGAATCCTGGAGCAGAGGCAACAGGAAAAGGGACGTGGAGGCAGGGAAGGCCAGCAGAGAGCGTGAGGACAGGATGCATAAAGAGCCCGGGGACTGCGGCGCTTGCAGATCCAGTCAAGCCACACAGCACGGGGACAGGATGACGTGTACAAAATGATGTTTATTGAATCTATTTTGGAAACAGACAACATGAAAGGTTTTTGGTCTGTGAGCTCACCCAGAGCTTGGAGTCGGGATAGCTTCCTGTCATTAAAGCGCAGCCACCAGAAGATCCTAGCTTCGTCTCATAAAGGGGCGAAAAAGTGCTTGCCAGCACCACCGCTGTCGCTCTCGCGACAGGTCTGATGGCTAAAATGCCCGTCAACATCAACAAAAGTGTTTCTGTACAGTCTGAAATATCCACGGCACAGGATCAGGCACAGACATCAAAGGTGAAGTTGTAAACTGGCTCACAGTCAGCAATTAAGTACACTGGGTCTACACTGACACTCCCGTTCTCAGCCTGAGCGCTCACGTGTTTAACCGATGGTTGCTGGCCCCATCAGGGGCATTTAGTATAAGAACAAGGCATTTACAAGCGTGTGTATCATTAACGTTGGAAACTAAAGAAGCATACCCAAGCATGATTAATGACTTCGCCTGGATCGATAAATACTAGTCCCGAGTGCCAGTAAGCACAGACACCAGCAGTCAAATAAATCATCCTGTTGTTACTTACTGATGTTCTATTGCTAATGCACGTTAGTCAATTTGTGGACTTCATCCAACACATACGCAGACCTTATTTTTTGTTTGAAATTCTCAGAAGGTCTCCTTTGGACATTTCTTTCCACGTTCTCTTAGAAGAATAAAAATGAGACAACGTTTTAAACTAACTTTCCAAAAGTACAAGCCATCCAAAGCATGACTCTGGTCATATTCCAGCTCTTCACCCAGAAGGGATGTGCTGTCAAGGCTTAGATATGCTTAGAAGGCCGCCTTCCCTGCTGGCAGCTCACACTGTCCTCGTCCTCTCCCAGCCACCTCCTGCCATATTGGAAGCCAAGCTGGCTCATGTCTCATTAACAGTTTCCAAAGACTAACAGGACACCTAGAAGGTACCAGAAGGACTCGGGAAAGCCTTCTCTTTTTTCTGGAGCTGTTATTGGTGGGGCCAACAGGCAAATACAAAGAGAAGAGGGCTTCTAGGTGGATAAAAAGCCCAGACCCAGAGGGAGCAGTGTTAAGGATTCAGCACAGTACCAAAGCCTGCTGCCCCAAACAGCATTTTGAGAGCTCAGATGTTAGAAATTCCAGGCACTTCTTTAATCACAGGGAACGAACCTCTCTCCAAAAGGTCCTGCCCACATCTCCCCCCATCTTCCCCTACTTTAAAGCACTGAGACATTGCATTTGCTATGACCCTCTGCTCTTGAGGCAAACGGAGCCTCCCTAACTCAGTGCTATGGACCGTGATGCTCACAAACACAGGCCATTTTGGATTTAAATCCAGCTGCTTCCAGCACTCTGCAGCTGATGAGCCCTGCCCACCACGGATCACCTGCACCCTGAACCACTTCCAGGCTCTTTTCCTAAGTGGGGGGGGGGGGGGGTTGTTTATTTTCTAGTTTGAAGACACACGCCCTTGGAAATGAGCAATGCAAGAACCTACGTGCAAATATTTGCAAACAATTTTTTTTTTTTGAAACGATGCACATTAAAAAAATTCAAGTCAAATCCAGGAACAGACTACTTGGTTGGCATCCACTGGCCCCGCACCCATAACAGGAAAATGGTCAGTTTCTGAAATGAGAGCTGAACAAAGGCACCAGCTACTCCACCAGGGAGGTTAGTTCCTTGAGCTTGGAAGGAGGCCAGAGAGAAGAGTGCCGAGGCTTCATCAAAGAGGACTTTTCTCCAGCCGGGTGGCCCCCCGGGGCCAAAAGTCAAAGGCGGCATGTAGGATCTGGATACCGAGCAGAATGACCCTCACCCACCAGAGGGACAACTCTTTTCCAGGAATTCTGAAAGTAAAACAGGAAGGCACGCTCCCAGCGTCGTGCTTGGCAGGGGCCGCTGCCTGCTTTCGCTCCACCCAGAACAGGGGAGGAGAGGTACCGCTCTACCACCTCTTTTCTCCTGGCAGCCCCGCATCACAAGAACCTACAGGGGATCTCCGGAGGCCAGTGCATCCCTGTGGGCTTTGTGTGTGGCTCAGCCAACCTCCCGCTATCCTCAAGCCAGCGGCCCTGGGCGATATGGTCGGGAGCGTCGACAGCACTGATCTGGGGGCAGGGCCCGCAGAGGAGGATCCGGAGTCAGGCAAGCAGAAAGTGAGCATCAGGCAGTCGGGTCTGTGTGGCTGCCAAGAGGGGGGTCACAGTCACGAAAACGGAGAGGTTCACAACCAGGACACTTGGACTAGGCCTCCAGGAGGAGCCCTTGGGGAGCTCTGCCCGGCCCGCCCCTGCCCCGGGGCATGGAGCCTGCTCACGCTGGGAGGTCCTGGGGGTGGGCATTCAGCTGAGGGAAGCACAGTTCAGCTCGGAGTCCCCCTGGCTGCCCGCGGCCCCCTGCTGCAGGGCATCGGGGCTGTCGGTGATGTTGGGCTCGCTGGAGCATTGCCGGTGCGGTGGCGAGAAGCTGGGCGGCAGGAGCAGGCCCTCGTCCTCCCCGCCAGGCTCCTCACCCAGGCCCGAGTGCATCATGGTGGCCATCGCCAGCAGCTGGATGTCCGAGTGGGCGTTGGCCACCGTGTGCCGCCGGACGCCGCCGCACTTCTCCAGGTAGGCCTCCCCCTCCTGCTCCGCCAGGGGGGTCAGAGCCGTCTCATTCAGGGGCCGGCTGAGGGCGGGGGTCGGGCAGGCGTAGCTCAGGCCCGCGACCTTGGGCCGGCCCCTGGAGTGGCGTCTGGCTGCAAGAGAAAAACCAGCAAAGACTGTCACTGGGGAGGGGGGGCAAAACCTGCTCCTGTGTTTGGGACCACAGGGACGTGGTGGCTCCATGCCCAGGAACAGCTTGAGGTACAGACGTGCCGAAAGGCAGGGGAGGAACCTGAAGCGTGGACATGCGGGGACAGAGCGGGGGTGCCCCAGAGGGCTTCCCAGGGCGCGTCAGGTTCTCTTTCCCAGCTGCCGCCTGAGCTTCACTGCATTCGCCCTACATTTCCTTTCAACCAGTCTCCGCCAAAGGCCTGGGCACTGGCTGGACCAGCTTCTAGAAGACACGCTCTGGCTCTGTTCAGCAGGAAGTAGGGGCCTCCCCGGTGACAGGAGATGACTTAGCCCCTCATTCCAGAGGGCCCGGACACACTCCATCATCACTTCCAGAGCTCATGCTCCTAGATGGGCATTGCAGTGAGACCTGCCATGTCCATCTGCAAGGCTCTCAGGGGTTCCTGTCACTTGACAGTTTTATAGGTCCACATATACCCACATATACAAGCCTAAGTCCAGCTTAGGGGACCTCAGCTGCCAAAGTGAGGGCCGTGGGACATCCTCCAAATCATCCTGACCGGGACCACAGTGCCCCTCCCACCAGATCAAGGGGCTGTGACCTGCGTTCTGTTCAAGTCATATGCGATTCCAGCAGCCTTTGGCACCATCAAGGGATGGGCAAGACTCCGCAGACGGCCCCGTGGAGGCAGACCCCGAAGACGAGGCCTGGCCACAAATTATTGGAAAACCACTGCTGCCTGAGCACTCCGCACATTCCAGAAACTACGCTAAGCCTTGACATGCAATCATCTTTTGACTCCTCCTAAAAACTGACCTTAAGTCATGATATGCTATTAGCTCCCACTTGACAGATGAGAAAACGGGAGTATCAGAGCGGTGATAATTGACCTACGTGCACACAGCTAGGCCACAGTGCAGCTGGGAGTGAAGTGAGGTCCCACTGCAGACCCTGCTCTTCCTAGACACCCCCACACGAAGCACACAGAACTAGAATAGGCTGAGTATCTCCAGGGAAGGACAAGGGGTTTCGAGGCAGGAAAAAGCGGATCCATGTGTCAGGGAGGACGTATACTGGAGCTGGGGGGAGGGACAGCATCATTCCAGATGCTGGACACACACAGCATTTCTGGTGCTGAGCCAGGTGCGCCATCCGGCCACAGCCTGGCTGGAACATGGAAGACATGAAACAGTGGAGACGTGCACAAACAGGCAGGAGGGCCCTTGAAAGCCAGATGGAACCTTCTGTGATCAGACAAGCCGTGGGGGGACGGGGCAGGTTGGGGGTTGTGCTCCAGAAAGATGCACCTGGCAGGAGCTACGCAGGGTTGGAGCCTGAGGGGCCAGAAGTAAGGAAAGCCAGGGCCACGACAAGCCTACATCCCCTGTCTCGGTCCGGTTACCTCCCCCTGCTCCTCAAGAGGCACCACACCTCTTCCCCCACATCGGCACTGCATCTGTATCATGAGCTGGCTGGAGGACCCCAGCAAGAATGGAGGGCCGAGGACCAAGTGGGTTCTGTTACACATCCCTCTTTCTACCAGTGCATACCTCTCCCAGCCGGCCAGCCGCCTACCGCATCTCATCTGGCCCCACTTTCCACGGCTCCCACGTCCCTGAGACCCTGAAGACCCCAAAAGAAACCCATCCCTTTCTCAGCAGGGGGAGGCAGTGGGCAGGAGGGGAGAAGCATGACAGGGGTGGTGTTCCTGCACATGGACAGGATCCCAGGGGAAGACCTAGTTTCTAAAGGGAAAGCAAACCATGCGGCTCAGAGACTGTCCTTGGGGACACATGGCCCACTCTGCTTTAGTTTACTCTCGGCTCTTCCTGTGAGTCTGGAGGGCCCGGACACACTCCGTCATCACTTCCAGAGCTCATGCTCCTAGATGGGCATTGCTGTGAGACCTGCCATGTCCATCTGCAAGGCTCTTAGGGGTTCCTGTCACTTGACAGTTTTATAGGTCCACATATACGCACAGATGCACATCCAATGACGAGAGGATAAAATCCGAAATCTTAGGACTGAGTCACCAAGTCTGTTGGCTCTGAGCCCCAAGGGAGCTGACAGGTAATAATAATTACTTCTCAAAACCAAAGAATAATATGTAGAATTTTCCTGAGTGTTCCCATCCATTTTCTCACTGCTGAGTCCCTATCTCCCTTTGAAACACCAGGGCTCTCCTCACTCTCCCCATTGTTCAGATGAGGAAGACTGAGGCTCAGCCCAATCTCTTAGGCTCTGAACAGCAGTGCCCAGACCTTCCCCACTGCATAATACTTTGTCTCAGGGCTCCACGGATGCCCTCGGAAGACACATTCCTCTCGGACGCCATGAACAGCAAATGCTACCCCCCAGGAGGTGCTGAACAAGAGGCTGGTATTGGCCAGGAGGGCTGGGTCAGCGGCTCTTCTCTTTGGGGAAGAACGAATAGGAGACAAAATGGCAAGGAGCAACCAAGAAGGAAGAATCCATGCCAAGCATTGGCCGAGGTTCTCTCGGGAGAATGGGGGCTCATACCCTCAACGTTTCTATAATGTTCCCACAGTGTTACAATAACCATGTATTACTTTTATGATCACAAAAATCGATAACTATAAGACAGAGGCACCAGAAGGGTTCAAAGAAGCCGGGGTCCCATTAAAGAACCATCCTTAAAAATAATGCCCTTGAAAACAATTCATTTGTCTCCTGCTAGCCATTAGAAGCAAGCACCTATGATTGGCAGTTGCAAAATCTGTTGTGGCCCAAACCCTCAACCAGCTGGGCCGGAGACTGGACTAGACGGTTCGGTGAGCCTTTCTCACACGCAGACCCAGGAAGAGAAGTGAGCTGGAGCTAAGGCTGGGCCCAGGACACAGGGTAAGCTGAGGGCCTGGAGGATAGACGGTGGACCCACGCAGCATCTCTAGAGGAAATGACGATCTGTTCGATGATTTCCAGGGGCCCCAGCCCGGCAGAATGAGCCAGGAAAGGTGTTTCAGATGGGTGCCTGCCATTATCTGTCTCTCTCACACACTGAGTTAGCCCAGAGGCCCAAAGTCCTTGGGGAGGTTAACAGGGAGCAAAAACAAGAGAGGCCACTTCAGCTGCTGCTGAGAGCTGGAAACACAGTGCGGAGGGGTCCCACGACACCTGTCTCCTCCTTCAACAAACACTCTGAGCTGCGACCTGCAAAACACTGCAGTCACTGCTGAGAGGGAGAAATGCAAACCTGCCACGGGACCCGCCTACAGGGGCCCGAGCCCAGCGCACGTGCGTGTACGTGTGTGCCTGTATGGGGTGGGGGGTAGGGTCTTGGGAGCAATCACTAGCTGAGCATCTACTGTGGGCGAGGTACTGTTATCAAAAAAGGGGGTGCTTCACCGCCATGCTCGTCTTCGGACCATTTTGCAGAAAAGGAATCTGAAGTCAAGATGCTAATTAACCTTGCAGCCAGTTAGGGATGGAAGCAGGATTCAAGCCGAGGGCTGACGGTGGAGCCCCCGTTTCTGCCCCTTGGGAAGCCTGCACACAAAGATCTGTTAGAACAAGGTCAACAAGTACGGAGTTACCGAATCACTCTATTGTACACCTGAAACTAATACAACGCTGTATGGTAACTAAAATGGAATTAAAAAAAGACAAGGTCAACAAATGACAGGGTGGAGGTGAAGGCAGGAACCTGCTGGGGAGCCAGGAGGAAAAGTCCTAAAGAGCAGTCATTTCGGAGGGGTCTGTTCCAGAGCGACTGACGGACGGAACCCAGACATTCACTCATTCACTCCCTCGGAGCCGAGAACTGTGCTAGGGCCTGGGGTACGAGGGTCCCCACGTGTTCCCTGCCCCCAACGAGCTGACAGTCTATGGGGAGACTGACAAATCATCAGGCAGGACCACCCAGCACGGCAAGCGCCAGGATGTGGTCTGGGCTCCCAGGGAGAGGCACAATTTTTCATCTGGAATGATTCCAAGGAGGCCAGGCCACCCTCTAGCTGGGGCCCGTAACACAGCAGGGAGCAGCTCTGCCTGGGTCCTGGGCTCGGACAGGGCCCCTTCTTCCTTCTCTGTGCTCAGCCCTCTGCAGCTCAGAGACATCAAGTAACTTACTCCAGGCCACACAGCTGAAGCCAGGCCCTTGTCGTTTCAAGGCCCTGTTCCTTCTGTGGCCGGCCCTGCCTCTCTCCTGATGGCTCTTCCCTGCTCATGACTCACAGGAGCGGCCTAGGACTCTTCTGCCTTCTGGGTGGAACGTTCTGGTTCCCAGGACTGGGTGTGGGCAGAACGGAGACCACAGGGGCCGCTGGGCTGTGTTGAGTCCCCTCGGCAGACAGTGTTCCCTCGATGAGCTCCCACCAGACTCCAGAGCCAACCTCAGACAAGCACGTCAGCTGCGTCCCCAGTGGGGTCAGGCCACATACTGGGCTGGGAGCTGAGACAGCTACCCACACTGGTGCTGCCCGCCACCGTCCCCGCCTCCTTCTTATTTGTACCAGGGAAAGCCAGGCCCTGCCACTCAGAGAAGGAACTCTCCCTTAAAGAGACTGATTAAGCTGTGGGCACCTCCTGGGGGCTGAAATGGGTCCTTTCCTTGTAGTGGTGCCCTCTGAGCTGGGAGAGGCTCCGGGTCCTGCCACCACGGCCAGCACCCACCTCCAGACCGCCTCCTTCTGCCTTTCACACGGGGTGGGGCCCGGGGGGCCTTTATTCCTTCCTCACTCCCCAGGCGCCCCACTGAGCTCTGGCATTCATCCCCTTGCACCCGAGTGAGCAATGGCAGCTCCTTTCAAACCCCCAGAGAAGCAGAGCCTGGATGAGGCGGTCCTCAGCCCCTTTGTGGGGGACTTGGTTCCCAGGCCTTTGATCTCCCAGGCTCGCAGGAGTGGCTGCCATAATGTGGGTATTGTGACCTCTGCACACCAAGCCCATTGTGGGCGTCTCTCTCCAGGCCCGGGCACCTGAAAGCCCATGAAAGCCTACTTGTCACGAGGAGAAGTTACAGTATCTTGAGGAAAGGGCCCTCCCCCTGGAAACACAATGGAGGAAGATCTGTGGGAGGCCAGGGCTTTTGTGTGGGAGAACACAGCATGCTGAATGTTCTGCGTGTTTGCTCCGAGGGCCCTGGAAGCAGCCAGGGCAGCCGTCTGGAAGCTTTGGGAACTAGAAAGGTAGGATGTGGGCCCAGCCTCTGACCAATCTTTTTTTTTTTTAAAGCTTTCACTCTTCCTCCTCACCTCCACATCCCCACCGCCCCAGGAAAGTGACTGCTCTGGAACAGAGCCATCCATCGTACACCGTCCTCCAACACGAGCCTCAGACTCCTCTCTCTCCCCCAAGCCTTGCACGTCAGTGGGTGAGGCTCACTTCTCAAGCCCATCGGCCTGGCTCAGAGGAAGAGACTCTTCCCAAGAATCCCCATGGGGTCAGACAGGCCTGGGCAGGTGCGCCTCCCCCGCCGGAGAAACCACTTCTCTGGCTCTGGTTACCTCCCCCAGGAAGTTTCTTCCTGAGTCTGAGACTGAGGTCAGCACAGCAGCCACCCCTCAGCAGGCCGTACCAGGAAGACAAGCGTCTGGGCAGCACCTGCAACAGGACAGGCAGAAGTGCGGGCTTCCGAGATGAGCCCTCCCACTGCCCTTGGCCACTCCCAGCCCTGGGTGGGCCCTGAGTGGACCATGGCAAAGCCCTCCTGTGGCTTTACACTTCCGTTGGTGGTCTCCATACTCCTCTCCTTCAGGCGGGACAGACGTAAGTTATGGCCTCCGTTCTACTGGGGGGAAGACTAACGCCCAGAGAGTCCTCACTTTATCTGGCAAAGAGGTGTCCTCAACAGGGAAGGGCTCCATTGTGACCATTTTAGCTGTTTAGTATGCAGAGGTTTGGGGTGAAATGTCTGGCCCCGGAACTCCGTTGGGCTAAGGAATGAGGGGGAAGAACACCTCCTCAACTGCCCCTCAGTAAAATCACAATCACCTGGAAACTGACAGGGGGAGGCTGGGGTGAGGGTGCAACCAACCTGGGGCTTTGAAATCCCAGCTCCAATAGCTGAGTGACCTTAATCCTCATTTGCCTCACCTGTGAAATGGGTACAGTGGTGCCCACTCTGTGGTAGGGTATTCAGCCCGCCCGGCAGAGTGCCTGCCCAAGATGTAGTCTGTGGCCTGTGCCTTCCCTTGCCACCAACCACTTTGTAACTCTGAAGGTCTTTCAGTTCCTCAAAGGCTCCAACCTCCTGTTCCCCTCCTCCTACCCCAGAGCCCTCCCAAAGATCCTTCCCTTTGTTTGGGATAGCTGAGCAAACAGGGAAGCAAACAGGGACTAATTCAAATTCGTCCTACAGGACGCATCTCAGGTATCACTTCCGCATCTCAGGTATCACTTCCTTCGGGGAGCCTCCCCTGATTTCCCAGTCCGAGGGAAGGGCCCCTGCCGTGGGCCCCATGGCTGATGCACTTCCCCCAATCAGAGTCTGTGCACACTAATGAGTCATTGTGATCTCTTGTCTGTGACTTCCTCACTGGCCCGTGTGCACCACAGGGCAGAGACGGGTCCATTTAGTCATGGGTATCCCCGCAGCACCTCACCTCACAAGGTACCTGGGGGGGCCTCAGGACACATTTGCTAAAATAATAATAATAATAATAATAATAATAATAATAATAATAATAGGGGCGCCTGGGTGGCTCAGTTGGTTAGGAGACTGCCTTCGGCTCAGGTCATGATCCTGGAGTCCCGGGATCGAGTCCCGCATCGGGCTCCCTGCTCAGCGGGGGGTCTGCTTCTGCCTCTGACCCTCCCCCCTCTCATGTGCTCTCTCTCTCATTCTCTCTGTCTCAAATAAGTAAATAAAATCTTAAAAAAAAAAAAAAGAAAGAATAATAATAATAACAATAATAAAAAAAAACTATTTAAAAAAAGAGTCATTTTCTGCCCCTCCTGAGACAACAGCCTGGAGGCGAGGCTTGTCCTTGGTATAAGAAAATCTCAGGCCTTTACTTTATAATTTGCCAAAAGTATGTATTATTCTGAGCTTAACTGGAAAGCCAAAGGCATCGCCTCTTAGAGTAAGTACTCCCTGAACAAACTTCCAAATCTATCCTTACTCTCGGCTCTAGGCCCGGCCGATGGCCAGGTCCCTGCCACGGCCCAGCTCACCTGCTTGTGTCCTGACATCTGCCTGGATCGTCCCGCCCAAGCTTGGGGAGCTGGCGAGCCCGTGAGCTGGGCCGAAGCCAGAAGGCGGGCTCCAGGGAGGGCAGAGCAACGTGGCCCCCCGCTCACAGCTGACGGTTTTCCTTCAGCAGGCACTGTTACTCGCTCTGGCTTGTACCAGCTCCTGGGTGAGTGAGCGAGCGAGGCAGGAAGGAAGGGCGGGGGGGAAGGACCCGGCAGGCGGGCTGGGGCCAGCACCCCAGATGTGTGGCAGCCATGGCTACGCCGGTGTCTCCAGAGACACATGAAGCGGCCAGGAAACCTCCCAGCCGCCCTGCTTTTCCTGCAGTACTGAGGCCCAGGAAGGGGCAGAACCTCACTGGACACTGTGCCCTTTTCTTGGACACTCAGCTACAATTCCACTGGAGCAAGGAGAGCAGGGCAGAAGATTCCAATTTCAGGGAATCCCTTTCCGCCTCTGCACCCCTGGACAGGCGCTGGTCACCCCTCCCTTGGGGTACAACTGACTGTCATCCACCTACAGATATGTTTTTGAGTACCTACTCTACACGGACCATATACTATATGCGTCCCATTAAGGTTGCTGGAGATAGGGACATTCCTGCATTTGGGGGGGCTCTCATTTCAAAAGGTAACTGAGGAATGTCTCTTATGATAAGCCTATTATATGGCTATTTCCCCATCTGGACTGCGGGTTCACGGAGAGAAGGAACAGATGCAATTCACCTCTAGATTCTCCGGGGTGCCAAGTGCAGACCCTGACACTGATGCTAGTTTTAGAGCCACCAGCCGGACTTGTCCCCAGTCCAGGAGCGCCTTTCCCTGGCGTGCAGGCCCTGGCGGTACCTACGGACAAGGAGGGGCCGGCGAGGGGGGGACAACAGCAGCTCCATTTCGTCTGGCCGTACACCAAACGAGTTGTCTTCCCATTTCAAGCTGCTTTCAAGGGAAAATCTACCACAGGTGGTTTTTCCACTCAAGTGTGTGGGGGGCGTTGCAATCAGGCCCAGTTTCTGGCTATCAGATACGGGAAAATGAACACTGCAGGAACACGGAAAAGATCAAAGCCACTAGTCAGGCAGATCAGACAAGCAAGACCACAGAGGCGCAGTATCAGTCCCTGGGGAGGACTCGTCAAGCAGGGAGGTTACCCCAACGCAGGCCAGCGGGAAGCACGGGTGATTAACATGCACAGATTAGCCGGGACCCACATGAGAAGCAAAGAGCTTGCTACACAACCCAGGCTCAGGAAAACATCACGGGCAGCATTCTCCCCGAGGCCCCTGCAGCCTGAGAGCCTCGCCCCTTACCTGACATGGACGTGGGACCCGAGACGCCGCGGTCCTCACTGATGCCCAGGAAAGGAGACACCACTTGCTTCACCAGTTCCTCCAGCTGCAAATAACCCTCACTGGGGCCTGTGGGCTCGTGAACACTCTGGAAATAAACATCCAAGAGAGACAAAGGTCCGTCAAAAGAGGCCAGGGCCAGCTTGGCACTCAGCGAGCAAATCCCGCCGGCCCTCCCACTACATTCAGAGCCGTGATACCTGCCGACAGCATCCTCGTGGCTGGAATGAAGGAATCCGAGGCCCGAACCCCAGTCACAGTGATCAGAACTGTGCCCCGCGGCGGCTTCTCCCGTCGGGCCCCAGCCACTCGGGGCAGGCGGGACTGTCCTCACGCCAGCTCCAGGGTTGAAGTCTGACGGGTCCCAACCACAGTAATCCCAGCCCACCCTCAGAGTGGCTGCTTCATACTTGGCATGCAGGCACTTCCCTAAGCACTTTACATGGACCAAAGCACGGGGGCCTCTCCACAGCCCAAGGAGCCAGGTGCCCTCATCATCCCCCTTCTACAGATAAGAAAGTTAAGACCCAGAGGGCTCATGTAACTCAGGACTGGAATGCAGGCTGTTTCGGCTCTGAGCCCATCTTACTGCCACTTGTTAAGGAGGCTAGAAAAGAAAGGGGGACAGAATGTGGAAAAATCCAGAACAGTAGAAGAGAGAGTCACTGTGGAGCTAGACATACATTCCGCCCCAAGATGAAGAGTTAGTTCAACAGCCCAACATGACAGGCGTCCTCGGGGCTGAGCCTGAGCAAACACCAACTAACACAAATGACAACGCTCAAACACCTTTAAAAGGGAGACCAAAAGTGACCCAGGTTCTCTAGAAGACCAGCAGACTCCTAGGGAATCCAATTTCTCGCTGGAAAGGACTTGAAGCCTTGCTCTGTTGAGGGGCTGCAGGGGCGCAGAGCTGTGCTCAGCCCAACAGGGTGTCCCACCAAATTCTCAGAGCGGAAGAGAGGTTACATCACCTTCACTTAAAAAGTAGAAACTCCCCACTGTGCTGGAGTTGGGGGGATTGGAGGAAAACACGGTGGGGGAGGGAAGCGAGAAGGGCCCGTCACACAGGCCGGGGATGGCTGGGTGAAGCGGGGGCTCCCTGTACCCAAGCTGACTTGGCCCCTTGTCAACGCCACCCCACAAAGACAGGGCTGGCTGGGGGCGGTGGAAGGGAGGGGTTTGGCTTAAGGAAACACAAAGGAGGCTGGGGAAGGGGGTTCTGGGGCAGAAGACTTGGGGTTGGGGCTGGGAAGGGGTCAGAGGGGAGGACATGCAGAATGAACAGGAGTGGGCCTCCGACCCACGGCATAGTACCGCAGTGAGGGCTGCCCAGGGGGAAGGCAGGAGGGTTTTTCCTGCCCCCTGGGCTCTGATACCTAGTCCTCAACCTGGGCTGAAGGACTGGACAATCTAGCAGTGGAAATAAAGGGGGAAAGCCCTGGGGGTGCTTCAGCCAGGAAGGGAATCCTCAAGGCTGCAGAAGGGAGAGGGGAGCCTTCCTCGGGCTCCCCGGAGACCACTCAGGCCTCCAGAGCAGGGCAGTTTCAGCCCCAAAACCACCTCGACTGGTGTTCAGAGCTAAGGAAACTTTTTTTTTTTAATTCAATATTTTCCTCCTTGATATTTCTTGTCTGCCTTCTCGCCCCAAGCCTTCCCCCCCACTCAACAGAGAGGGACAACAGAGAAAGAAGAGGCAAGAGGTGGGGTGAAAATGGGTAACATGCGCATGCTTTGAAGCTGGATGGGTTTCTCCCAGGGCAGCGGCCGACAGACAACCTGACAGCCCTCAGCCTGGCTGCCGGACTGGCCACCTCTTTGCAAGGCTCAGGGCAAAATGAAAATGTGGGCGGGGTTCCCTTGTTCAAAGATTACTAAGCGACAGGAGAGAATAAACCAAGCACAGGACCCTGCTTGGCACGGGACCCTGGGTGACCGCACGGGGGCCCCTCAGAAGGCACTGTCCCAGGATGATCTCAGGATCTGGCTGCACCTGCCAGGAGGAACCAGATCTCTGTGATGGTCAAAGTCTCTGGCTCAGCCTCTCCCTGGGGCAGCCTGGGGACAGAAGCATATAACCCAGAACAGGGAACTTGGAGTCCCTTGCACATGTCGGGGAGGGAGGGGTTTGTTCGGGGACATTTTGGAAGAGCACCAAAAAAGGGAGACACGAAGGCCTGAGGAATGGCTCTTTTCGCTGTAGGAGAGTCAGGCCCGGAGAAATCTGCCCCAGATCTCGTGGCACTGGGGCAAGTGAGGGCCTGGCGGGAGAAGGGAGCAATTCTAACGGGGGTCCTGATTTCCTGCAGTGGACATGGTCCAGGGGCATTGAGATCCAGCAGCTGTGCCCTGCTACTCAAGAAGATAGATGCGGATGGGCCCAAAACCCCTATTCGTCCCTGTCACATTCCCAGCTTTACGGCTCCCAGAGTAAGGAAGAACATGGGCCAGAACTCGCCCCGTGAGACCCTCCAGGAAACAGCGCCAAATGCCCGCATGAAAGTGGACCATCTCAGAAGCTTCTGCGATCTCTCCCAGGGCCCTGGGGCGCTGCAGGAGGGAGGCCGTGCTACCTGAGCAAGGCTGGCTGGGCAGGTAGAAAGAGCAAGGGCTGAGGAATGGGTGACAGACCCACTCTCTCACAAATTAGTATGTGACCTTAAGCTGCTTGGCCAACTCTTCTGAACCTCCACCTCCTCTGCGAAAATAGGACAACAGGGACTGTTCCCTCGCTCAACTTCCCAACCATCTGTCACAACCACAGAGCTTCTCTGACTGTACTTCTTTCCCTCTGCCAAGAAATAAATCCCTGCACGATGATCACCATCAGAGGACTGGAGGCCAGAGACCTGGGGTTGGTCCCACTCAGGCTCTTGCTAGCTGTGCCGTCACTCACTGGGCACATGTTTAGTTGACACCTACCGCGCGTCTACCATGCAATGGGTGCTGAAGGTACAAGAGGGAGGAGAACGTGGGCAGACCTGCCTTGACCGGAAGGGGGCTGTGGGTCCCAGGAGACCGTGTTCTCCTCAAAGGGAACCCAGGTGCGAAGACTTGCTGCCCCAGGGAGAGGCAAAGGTGATCAGTGTGACCGGAGGCTCCAGGTGAGGCTGGGGAGGTGGGAGGACCGGAGGCCGGGGTACAGATCAGGCCATTCTCCTAAGATCACCGGGAAGCCCATGGAGAGCAACGTGGGCTGGAGGCTACAGAGGATGAAGGAAGTGTCTCCTAGGGAAGCAGGCTAACCCCCCAGGGGCTGGCAAGGGGATGATGGCAGCCTTCTGCTATGGCTGTTGGGTTGTCCAATGTGGGAACATGGTGGATGTTTTTCATTAGCACAGACAGAGGCCTTCCTGGGCTACTATCAGCAGGCGGGGGCCCTCACCCCAATTCTCCCTCCAAGGAACAAAAACAAACAACACCAACAACAAAAGAATCAGCTCTCATCCTTAAAATATCATAAATGGAAATAAGAGGGAGAAAGCCCAACTTTTCTTTCCCAGTCTTCCCATCTGGACCCCAAAGGGGTCATTTTCTAGACTCCTCACTTGGGATGCAAGCTCTACTTCATGCTTCTCAGACACAAGCCCCCCCCCCACTTTCCGAACCCCCCTCCTTCTCCTTCCTGCCCGAAAAACACCTGACCTGGTTTTCCAGCCAATAAAGAGCACCCTTATCCTATTAGGTAACTCTTGCTCCTCTCAGACTTCAGGAAAGGCGGAGAAGGTCCAGAAGCATGGCCCAGCTCAGAGAGCCAGAAGAGAACAGCAGCTGGGGGAGGGGGAGACCAAGGCCCCAAGCCTGCTGGAGGGCAGTGGGGTCACCGCCAGCCTGAGCAAGGAGGATACCGGCTGCCTTGGGGAACAGCTCAGACCTGATGCTGTGGGATCTGAACTTATTACAAAGGTGGAGGCACAGGAGCCCTCTTTTGGGGGTGTCCCTGGCCACATCTCTGTTTCATGGGAATTGTGCACCCCTATCCATAGGATTGGGCTCCCTGAGGCCATGTTTATGGTACTTGACCCAAGATCATGGCTGATTGGCAAAGGAGAGTCGTGTAGCCGGGGCTAGGCCAACCCAACTCTTTCCCCTGAGTGTCCACAGCTCTGAATCCTACTACCACTTGCTGAGGGACCTTGGACAAACACACACTTCCTGGGTTTCCATTTCTTTGCCTGGAAAATGGGAATAACAACACTATCTACTTCACGAAGTGGTCATTTGGATGATCTGATTCAGAAAACACCACGTAAAGTCCTCGGCCTGCACCAGGTACACAGCCAGGAACTGGTAGTGTTAGCTTGTCTTCCTACTGTTGATTCGGAATGGAGATGAAGAGGCGACCATCTGGGTCACCACTTGGTGGAAACGCGTGAGCTGTGTGCGTGATGCCAGGTTTGGTCAGGTGTGAACCACAGTACTGAGCACAAGTCTGCAGAGGGAGGGGGAAAGACAGAGACACCCAGTCCAAGAGACAGCGGGCAGGGCCAACAGAGGCGGCATCAGAGAGAGACAAGGAAAGACCAGCAAGTGGCGACAGGCTGGCTGCTTTGGGGCCTGACATGGTCTCGCTTCTGGTTGTAGTCTCTTAGGATGCCCTCCTGCCCCGGGAACCTTCCAGTGAGCTCCTGGTCTGGCTCGAGCTCACCCGCAGGAGGCTCTTGCCGTCACGTGCTACTTGAGGCTCCCAGGCGAGGAGGGAGGGTGTCCGCTCCCTGAAGGACAGGACTGTGCCTCTTGCCCCCCCCCCCCCCCCACTGGGATCCCAGCACGCAGCACAGCGCCAGGGGCCTCGCAGGGGCTCGGTGGAGGTACAGCAAATGAACAAACGTGCTAAGGAACAGGAACGACGACACCGAAGCATACTAGCTGAGCTAAGGTGCTCAGGTCGTTTGGTCCCTCCCCCGTCCCACAGGGTCTCTTCCTCCCCCGGCCTGGTGGCCACGTCTCCAGTGGGGCCTCACCCACCTGCAGGATGAGCAACATCTGGACAATGGATGAGGGTGGCTGGGACTGGGCCAGCAGCAGCAAATCACCCAGCTTCACCTTCAGCAGGACCAGGTCGCGGAAGCCCAGCAGGGAGATCTGGCGGATGGTCAGCTCCTGGCCCTGGAGAGGAGAGAGGGGGCAGGGCCGGGAGGTGAGAGCCCGCTGGATATGCTGCCGGCCACACGGGGTCCAGGACAACCAGTGTGGACAGAACACCAGGATGGGACAGGACGAGGTGTCTGCAGGACTCGGGGCGGGCAGGGGCGCTGCCAAAGAGTCGAAGACTTGGCCCTAGTCCTTCCCAATGAAAGCTTCGTTTAAGATAAGGTGTGACTCAACCTGCCTAAGTGACTCAAGATGATACAAGACACATCAATGGGGGCCATGCTGTCATGAGGGCGGGGGGGGGGGTCAGGAAGGAAGAAGAGAGAGGAAGATGGGGGGAAATGAGAGAAAAGATCAACACCCCCGACCCCCATCCCCCACCCCCACTTTCAAGGCTGCTTCCTCAACCCTGTTCAGTATGTGAGCACCTAGCTTGCGCCAGGCCAAGAAGGAAAACACAGGGACAAGTCTGACCATGCACGGTGTGGGCGGAGGGTGAAAGGAACTCCTAATCCTAAGAGCTATACTTACTAAGCTCCAGGGGCTAGGCATGACTCTCAATATTTTCGATGGAACTAACACGATTAATCCCACCCTTCGAGACAGGTACTATTATTAAACCTACTTCACAGAGGAAACACCTAGAGCCCAGAGTTACGGTTCTATCCCCCGGGTAGAGCTGGGTCTCAAACCTTAACTATTTGATTTTAGGGCTCCCAAAGTTTCCCAAAGCAGAAAGAGAAAGGAGGCCCTCTCTCCTAGACTCTCCTTTGCACGTATACACATGACACACACCAAAAACGGGCTGCTCTTGGTGGAGCCAAAGAGATCATGAAGGTACCTGCCAAACGGGATGTCGCTTTTCATCCCTCACGTCTGCCAAGGCTTAAGGAAGTTTTACATTTCCTAGACGTCCTTAGGGTTTCACAGAAATGCAGTCAAGAGTGGTTTTGCCATCTCCGCATGCCCCTCTCCCTCCCCCCTCCCAGTCCCCAGAGATGCATACAACCGCCAACAGGTGCCTTCCAGGCTCGAGTCAACCACCCCCTTCCTCGACTGCCTTCCTGGCCCGACTCCAGTGGCAGCAGGCCCCCCTCCGCCAACTTTGCCTTTTCCAAGACGCTACAGTCCACAATGACCTCCGACCTCGTAGCTAGCTATGCCCTCATTTCATCTCCCAGGTCCCTTTCGCCTTCTAAGGTAGGAAAATGAAAGCAAGCTTCCGCCCCCTTGAACACAGTAGGTACTCAAAAACACATCTGTCCACCGAGGAAGTAGGGCTCACACAGACACCCATACAGACAGGGGGCTCTGAGGTGGACGGAGCTGGACTGACAGACACCTCGGCGTGTTACTACCGGTAGTGAGAACCCCTAACTCCGGGCTTCTCAAGGTGGGGTGCCTGGATCAGCAGCAGCACTTGGGAAACTGTGTGTGGGGAAGGGGGTGGATTGGGGCAATATCAACTATCACCGGAGCTTGCAATTCTTCAAGAGAGGCAGAATGCGTAACATCCTCAGACCCGCACAACTGGTTTCCTGCCTGGATATATGCCAATGAGGGCCCTTCTTGGCCATCCGATGACTGTACCAGGGCCATGCCCACTCAGATGCCACACTCCCATTCTAACCCATCTGGACACCCCCACGTTGAAATTCCATGCCCACGGGGCCCTAAGACAGAGACCCAGGTCTACACAGCCCCTCCAGTAGGGTTGCCAAATGAAACAGAGACTGTCCAGTTGAACGTGAATAATTTTTTAGTAGAAGTATGGTTCTAGATATTGCATTATTCATTGTTTATCTGAAATTCAAATTTAACCCAGCATTCTATAATTTTATTTGCTAACTCTGGCAACTCTACCTCCCGTGTCTGTCTTCTTAGGACCCAGCGCTGGCCTAGGAGTGACCATTACAGGGAGGGGAGACGTTTGTGGGTATGGGAGCTGAACTGACCCCAAAAATGCTGCAAACCCTCTCACGGTGGTAGAGGATGGGGCTAAGGATGGGATGAAGAGAGCAGTGAGCTGTAGGCCAGAGCTTCTACTGGAACTGTGAGGGGCAGGCCAGAAATGGGAAATGGACTCAGTAGGCGTAACCTCCCAATTTTTAGGTATTGACACATATTTAAAGGAATTCCAAGTTCCCGTACAACACCATTCAGAGCAAACAAAGTCTGTGGGCCCTTGTGTCTGGCACACAGCATCGCTAAGGGCTGTGCCATTGCTGGGCCCCACACCCGCACTTCAACAAAGCCCCATTAGATATGCGCCTTCACCCCAGTGGGCGGAGCGGGGGTGGGGTAAGTGGAGGATGGAGATGTGAATCTTGGAGAGGAAGATCTATCGGTCAACCTGCCTGCAGGGGTGTCCATTCTGACCTGGCAGTGACCAGTCCTGCTATTAGCCTCTGCAGGAAGGTAGAAGGAAAGCAACTCAAGTGTTAGAATAAGCTCTGATCACAGAATACGAATACTAAGGAGATGCTGCTCATTTTTTGCTCGAAAGCCCACATTTTGCAGATGAAACATTTCAGAGAAGTGAAATGAGTTTACCTAAGCCCAACGACTGACTGATGGAGTCCAGTGTTCTTTCTGCTCCCTCACGTGGCTACTTGTCTTCAGGCATCCCTCACAGAAGGCAAGAGACATGATTCCCTTCCCACAATTTGGGATAACAGGAATCTTGCTTTAAAATCGGGCTTCCAAGAAAGGGAGGGGGAAGAAAAAGAGGAAACAAAAGTCTCCCTGCCCCATCTTCTCTACTTCTGAAAACGGGAGAAACAAACCACGCCAAGAATATATAGGAATACTCAAAACCAAGAGGGTGACAAGAGCCTACAAATTGCTAGTTATGCAGGCACTCTCTCTTGGCTTGAGGTTAGATGCTAAACATAGACCAGAGAGCCCTCCAAAGAGCGCTGTGGTCCTTAGCCAACTCAGGCGCCCAATGTCCTGCCTCTCCCCCCTTCACCAGGAGGTCCCAGCTGGCCAAAGGCCAAGGAAGGAGACAGAGTGCCGAGGCCGGCAGGAGGTCGTTCCTCAGTGAGACTGACCTGAACTGGATAAAATATTGCCTGCAGGGTGGGGAGAGTCTCAGTGAAGAAGTGGTCCCACACTTCAGCCAGAACCTCAATGCGATTTTCACCTACACAAGGACGAGAAGATGGGAGGGGAGGAAGAAAGAAAAGAATTTGTCATTACTTGCAGGAGAGGCTAGAGACAGTCCCAGGTCAAATGCAGCATGGGGACAGGGGGACAGGGGAAGAAGCTCATGACCTACGTTTGCTCTCGGAGGCATTACTACAAGTCAATGTGCGATTGGATGGGAAGACTTAATCAAAAATAGGCAAATATGCCTTCTATCCCCCACTCCAGAAACAGGAGCTGAAGTTTGGAAATGACATGACAATGGGTGCCATCACAAGAATGGTTACAACATTCTCAGGCACTGTGCTAAACTACTTATCTACAGGCCGTTTCATGAGTAAACCCTATGACCTCATTTTACAGGCTCAGAGAGGCTGAGGGTCTAGCTCAACGTCACACAGCTAGAAGGCAGAGCTGGAATTCCAGAACCCATGCTTTTGACAGATTTAATCTAGGAGGATCACGTGTACAGTTATTGTTTTGATTTTCTAATCATGACAACACTGCTTTTTTGTTTTGTTTTTGTTTCATTCTGGATTCGAGCTGTCAGTACAGGGAGGGGGGAAAAAGGGCCTAGAGACTGTCACTTCCACCCCCACTGGTTTGCAATAACCAGAGGCCGGGTGGCGGGTGGGAGGTGGACAGCATGCTCTGCAGTGGTCACCTGCAAAACACAGGACCCACCTCCTCATGCTGTGCCTACTCTCACCCCTGGGACCCAGAAGGCTGACCCCAGGCTGCCTGTACATGGGGCACCCAATGCCACCGGAAGGCTGCGCCAGAAACTCTGCACCTGCAGGAAGGCGGACACGGGCAGGGAGGGACCCCCACGGTGCCTGCATGTTAATGACCTAGGTGACACAACTGACTGAGTACTGTCTTTGCTCATCTGAGGCAGAGAAACTGGGTCAGCCAAGATTAGACACTGAGAGATACGTCTGGCAAAACACTGCCAGTTCACTGAGCAGATCTTGAAAGATTCATTTAGCATCTTCCGCCTATTAATTTAATGGACAATAAAAGCAGTGGCTGCGAGAGAGAGAGCAGAGCACGGACGTAACGAGCAGCGAGCAGGGCCGAAGACGTGCAGATTTTGAAAGGTCAGAGAGAAACACACTAGGGGAAAATGCAAATCCATAGCACCCTCTCATTTCCCTCCCGGAGTGCTAATTACACTCGGCTGGAATCACTTACTGACTTCTCTTGTCTCCTCCACTAGAACGGGAGTAAGCACGTAAGCCCTGTCTGTCCTGCTCACCGTTATTATTTCTAGTGCTTAGCATGAGGCCAGACAGATCAATAAATCCATTTTTAGAAATCTTTGAGTGAATGAATGGCAAGTATCAAGTGTGCAGGTTTTCACAGATGCTAAGGCCGGTGAGTGGAAGGAAGTTACCGTTTAATCCAAATATGGGACAGGACAGAACAGGACTTAGTAATTAGCTCCAACATTTTCCTTTGCTCTTAGATCAAGAAAACCTCCACAATATAGGCACTCTAGTTGCCGGGGGCGGGGGGGGGCGGGGAGGGGGGAGTCTGTTTCCTTCTTCTGTAACCTTACCCTTGAACTTGACCTTTCCCTTCAACCTTTGGGCCCCAACTATGTGGATTTTACCTTAGCCCCTCATGTTCACCATGATCCTTCACACCACAGGGCTTTTGCATGTGCTAGTCCCTTTGCCTAGACTGTTCTTTCCCCCTCTCTCTGCCTAACTTACATCTGTCTGTCCTTCTAGTTTTAGCTCCAGCACCACCTCTATAGCAAAGTCTCTCCACTGGTCAAACGCCGCTTCTACGGATTGTAGCCTTAATACCTGTTGCAATTACAGTTTTATATTTGATGATGATTTGATTAATATCTATCTCCACCAGTGGCTGTGAGCTCCACGAGGGCCTGGGAATCCTAGGATGGCTTTGTTCACCACTGTGTCCCCAGCACCTAGCAAAGCACCTGGTACATAGTTGACCACCAATCAATGTCTGAATGTACAAGTCTTTTCAAATGCAGGCTATGCTAGTTCACGGCAGGGAGGAGCCAGGGAGGTCAGAAGGAACATCTGAAACGTTAGCTCTCATCCTGGTACCCAAAACCAAGGTGACCCCAGCAGCTGGATAATGTCCTTCACAGAAGAAAGGGCTCTTCCAGCTCCTTTACTGATGGCCTGTATCCTAAGCCTTCCATGAGGAAGACAAGCAGAGGCCTTCCCGACATGGAAGAAAGGAAGGAGACTCGTGCAGGTCAGTGCTTATTCCCCTCCGCCGCCAATGGAACGCTCGTCAGCACATGAGGTAATCCTTCGACCCGGCAGGGGAAGGCACCTCTCCTGGGAACCTGTGTCTAATTGCTGGCTTCACACTTCACAGAGTAATGGATGTTTTGGAAAGCGTTCAGAGGAGAACATCAGACAGACACAGGCTAACAAAGCAGGGGAGCCCCGGGGAAGAGAGAGTTACAGGGATGTGACTTCACCTTCAGAAAACAGCCCAGAGGACTTCACTCCCTGCCAAGATGAAGGGCAGCTGGATGGAAGGGTCTAGATGAACACCCTACAGAAATTGTCCTCTTAATATGCCACGGGAATTTAGATCGCCGCATGTCTATAGAAGGGGAATGAGAAGCTCCTCGGGGTCAAGGTGGCTAAAGCTCTGGGAAATTACTGGAATTATCATGACCGATCCTGCCCGCAGAAGAGCAGCACCTGGGTAAGAGCTGTGGGGGCTGGGTCTGCGGCCGGGAGGCGGGGTGCCCGTGCATAAACACTGAGGTCCTTTCGGTGAAAGGATGGATCCTGTCTGTGGCTCCCGAGCTACGTGTTAGAGCAAGAGGATCCTTTTAGCCAAATAAAATCTCTCTTGGAGCTGTACTACATAACATAAAAAGTGGGGATGTCTGGAAGACAGGAAAGGCCCTTACAGGTTTTCCACGGGCCCCTTTGCTGAGCAGAAGGGCCGCTCAGACACCAGGACGAGAGTGGACCCCAGGGAGAACACCCGGTCCGGTGCCCCGTAGCGCACTTTGGGGGCTGAGCAGAGAACCTCGGAGGACCTTCGTTTGCCCGGGTTAGCGTAGCTCCATTCCTGAGCTTTCACTCCAGAGTATTTATGTCGAGGGTCACTCGAATGAGAGGCACTGAACCTCCCCTTGAAAGCACTTAAATCTCTGGTTTTGCTCGGTATCTTGTTCATGAAGCTGGTTTTCCATGTTTCCAGGAGCTTGTGATAACTCCCCAGATGACTTCCAGGCAAATACCATGGTCACAGACCGTGCTTCTCTTCCCTCCCTTTCTGAGACTGTCACCTTCCACGCTTGTGTAGTAGCCTGACCCCAACATGCACAAGGGGCACAAACCTCTTGTCAAAGCCAGTTCACTCAAAAATAAGGCCCTGGGGGGCGCCTGGGTGGCTCCGTGGGTTGAGTGTCTGACTCTTGATTTCAGCTCAGGTCATGATCTCGGGGTTGTGAGATCGAGCCCCGCATCAAGCTTGGCACTGGGCGTGGAGCCTGCTTAGGATTCTCTCTCTCCCTCTCCCTCTGCCCCTCCTTCCTGCTTGCATGCACGCACGCGCGCTCGCTCTCAAAAAATAAAAATAAATAAGGCCTTAGGCTAGGGGGCATTTATAAGGTTAAAAAAGCCTGAATACAGTTGTACTGAGGGAAAACAAGGTTACAGGCTCAGTCAGCTCTCAGATATACAGAAGTTAGTTTCTAGCCTCTATTCCTCCAAAGGGCTGCCGAGCTCTTACTGTGCGCCAGGTACCAGCCCTTCCAGCACCAGTTCTCATTTGTCTCCTATTTCATCTTTATACGACACCAGCCAAGAGTGTCTTTCCCGGGGTGGGGGGGGTGGGTGCGGGGGAAGGCACGCTCTCCTGCCTGCCATGTCTGTGTCTAGTAGTAAATCTGTAGTAGTAAATTTGACCTCCAGGTAGAAGTTTCTAAACTAGAGTAGAGAAAAAAAAAAAGAAGGAATCAGTCTGTGGCCGGATAACAGTGCTACGCCAATTACGCTCCCTATACTCCCTTTTAAACTCACATCATTTTAAAAATGATAGGGAAAAAAAAAAAAAAACCAAGAAACTAGAAACGTGCCAGAAGTCACCCAAGCAATAGGTGGTAAGCTAAGATCAGGATCCACCTTGGTGGCAGCTGGGAGTAGCCCCTGGTAGAGTCATGGGGTTGGCCAATTCTTGCCTTGGTCCCATCTCCATTTGGTGCCTTTCCATCCTGTCCCGTGGGCTCTAAAACATTTTAAGGTCAGGAAATCTTCCTTTGCCTATCAAATCATATCTCACTCAGCAGGTACCTGCTTAGTATAACGTCCGCCAAATGGGTAGAGCACTCCTGTCATATAGGACCTCGAGAAATACGAAAAAGGCCAATTAGGAATAGCCTGGATCAGACCCGAGAGAACGGCATGACAGGATCTGTAGTATAACTGATCCCTTCCCAGGAGACCGCCAGCACGCATCCTGCGAGAACCCTCCACAAGGTCTCTGAGAAGACCACCCCGATTCTACCTGACTTCTCAAAATACAGATCTGACACGCACCACCACGCTCCAAGGGAAGTGCTGCCACCTGGCTGGAGGAGAAACGGGCGGGGTGACTCACTCACTTGGAGTCCGCCACTTTTGGACAGAAGCACGTCAGCTGTCCAAACATCAGAGGCTGAGTCACAGAGCCCGCTGTACGAGCCCGCCTTGTACTTGCCTTCACACAGCTTAATCTTCTCCTCCACAAACAACAGGCCTTTTGCAAGAAGCTGGTTCTGTCAAGAGAGAACAAAGAACACAAGGGTTGGGCCACTTCAGAGAGTGACAAAACCTTCTTCCACTTCCCATGGCTGAGGGAGCGGGGTTCTAGGCACTTGTAGGCTAGTCATGCCTCCAAGTCTGAGGAGACTTTTGTCCTCTTGGAGGATCAGGCTTGGGGAGAAGTCAGCAAAAGAGGGAGACAAGAGCCAAACCCAACCGCCATCCCATCCCTTCAAGCAGAAGGAGGCATGCCTCACTCTTGGCTGGCTCCTATGGCAGGCCTAGGGTTGACACACAATGTCCTTCAAGCCCTTAATCTAAACTCAGAAGAGGGAGCACTGAGGTAATGGGAAATTAGGCAGAAATAGTATTTTTTTAAAAAAGATAAATTTAGGGTTTCTCATGCTAACGTGCAAGAGACTATGCGTAAAACTCTAAGAAGCCGTGGGTATGTGTCCGTCAGTGAGCGTGTGTGTGGAAAGTTGTGGAAAGAGAGAAAAAGGCGAAGTCCTTTTGCAATTGCACCTAACAACTGTTGAGTGTTCTGTGTGTGTCAGAGGCTTTATTTCCTTCATTTCACCTAATTCCAACCCTCCCGATAGTCCCCTCCGGCTGGTGCCACTACCCTTACTTGACCGATGGTCAGGGAAGACACTGCCTACAGGAGACAAGGCAGGTCTTCCTGCAGCCAGAAGCCACGTTCTCTCCGCTCCGCTTTGCTGCCTTCCAGCAAGTCTTCCCACCCAGACCCCTTCCTTCCCTTGAAGGGCCACAGCGGGTCCCCTAAGAAGCAGCGCAGCCTCTCCAGAGGTCACAGAAGCTCCAAGAGCAAGGACGTGCTGTTGCCCCTCCACCTCGCCTCACAATATCAGATTATCAAAGGCCTGTGCTTATGGGGTAGGGGGCCCATGGGGATATGTATCCTACACAAAAACCCTAAGGCATTGCTTAGTATCCTCCTTTACAAAACCCTACAACCCTGTTGCAACGATGATAAGAGCATGCACAGCAGAGTGGAAAAAACTTGGGTATCAGACGGGTTCAAGTCCCAGCTCGGCCACATTCTAGCTGTGTGATCTTGGCCTTACTTTCCCTGATTCTTGAGTTCCTCATCTGTAAAATGGACCATACCAGCAATATCATAGAGTTCATGTAAGAATTAGTCATTGTAAATACACACACACACACGGTATTTTATGTCCTTAGTACTCAGTGGCGATGGGCAGTGATGATCATAGCTGCTCTCTCATCTATCTTCACAAAAGGAGTGGGAGGTAGAGAGAGTCTGTAACAAATGAGCCTACATCAAATATATTAAAATATTTTAACAAAAGAACTACCACATTTCTGTGACACATACAGATGAACCAAATTTCACAGAACCTATTAAAACTCACAAGAGGGTGCCTGGGTGGCTCAGTTGGTTAAGCGACTGCCTTCGGCTCAGGTCGTGATCCTGGAGTCCCGGGATCGAGTCCCGCATCGGGCTCCCTGCTCAGCAGGGAGTCTGCTTCTCCCTCTGACCCTCCCCCCTCTCGTGCTCTCTGTCTCTCATTCTCTCTCTCTCAAATAAATAAAATGTTTAAAAAAAAAAAAAAACTCGCAAGATAGGGGCGCCTGGGTGGCTCAGTCGTTAAGCATCTACCTTCAGCTCAGGTCATGATCCCAGGGTCCTGGGATCGAGCCCTGCATCGGGCTCCCTGCTCAGCGGGGAGTCTGCTTCTCCCTCTACCCTTTCCTCCTGCTCATGCTTTCTCTCTCGCAAATAAATAAATAAAACCTTAAAAAAAAAAAACCTCACAAGATATGACCTAACTTCGAAAAGTGGTCGGCCACTGTTTAGTTTCAAGATGGAACCCCAAATCCAAGTTAGAGTGACATCTCAGGGGAGAACACCAATTCTGTTAAAGGAAGAAAAAAATCAATTCCTTTACAAAGAACTGGAACAAACAGGTAATTAAGGTGAAACCCCAACTGCGTCCTCTCCCTTCCAGCCTAGCAAACGAATCCCAGCAGCTTCTGGGTCAGAAAGCAAGCAACCATCATGGCACCCAATTTAGACTCTCAGAAGCAAGGCTTTGCGGCAGCTGAGCCAGACGGGAAAGATTACAGAGGTGCTTCCACGTGGCAGTCACTCTATCGGCATGTTTCTGAACAACTGGGGCCTTAGGTCCCTGCGTGGGTCCCTTACTCCCCCCCCCCCCCCACCGGTGAGGTTCTCAGAACATCCCTGGGTGCTCTGTGGGAGGGCTCCTGATGCCATGGCTCTCTGTCACCACTTCTAATACCACACGGGTGTCCCAGGCTTCTTCCAAAACGGCTTCACGACCCTCCAAAAGCTCATGTCTCTGCGATGCGCCTGCAAATGTGATCAAGCCTCCCTCTTAATGCAACTTTCCTGAGTGTGTTCCATCACTGCGATTATCTACACTTCCAATGGCGGGGTTGGGGGAGAACCAGAAGTTTACTGGGAGATGGAGAGAGAAAATGCACTGGGTCTGCATGTGCTAGGTCCAGGTCAGATCCTGAGTTAATCAAAGGAATGAATTCAAACCCTATATCCTATGTGTTAGGTCCTTAGGGGGTAAGGACCATTTCTTAGTTTAGTGCCCGAGGCTCTGAGAACAGGGCCCCAAACACGGCAGATGCTAATGAACATTTGCTGAGAGTGTATGTTGCCTGTTTTGGTGCTAAAGACCATTTTGAACTTTTAAGACATCAAGACAAGAGACAGAATGTGTATAAGACGGGAGAAAGAGAAAAACAGCATCACTAAATTTGTTGACATTTCTTCACTGGGTAAAAATCACTTTGTCTGGATCTTAAAGGATAAACTTTAAGAGATGGCCCGGGTTCTCCTTCCTTCTCTCTCCTAGATCTTCCCCCTTCAAGGATACATTTGGAAAAAAACAAAACAAAACATTTTGTTCTTTTTTAAGAAAAATAAATTACTTGTGGATTAGAGAGAAATGGAAAAGAAAATACTCTTTTTAAAATTCTCATGATACACAGCATGGCAATCCTTAACTTAGACCAAATAAGAGCAACAAAAACTTGGGCTCAGGAAGGGACTGAAGGGAGCATCTAGCCATGCTGCCATCTCCCCAGCCCTGCGGTCAAAATCCACTGGTCACACACAGTTTTGATGGTATTTGGGTGGACTCCTTTTCCAGGAAATGAGTCTCTAGATTTTATTCAGCACGTGTGCACAGAAGAAGGACCTTTGGGGCCAGCCTAGCCCACAGCCCCCCCCATCCCTTCTGGAGAAGCACCTGTCATCCACTTAATGGACCTCTGCCCCACTGTGCAAGCTCAAACCCCTTGACCCCAGGCTGCACTGTCGGCTTAGCCAACTGGCCTGGTTCCGACCCCACACCCTGACGCAGGCCCCAAACTGAGCCAATGGTCTTCTCTCCTGGGAATCTGCAGTCAGGCAGGACCCTGCGGAGGTTAGGGTCCTGTGTGACTGCAGGCTTCGTGGTCGGAAGGGCCTCCCACTTGGGCTTAATGCTCTGCAGTTACTGTTTCAATTCTTATTATTTTTATCTTTGAACTTGTGTTATGTAAGTGAAATTGGGGCCATGGAGGACGTACCAAGTGCTTGGGGTCTCAGCTCCCTTGTGGTCCTGCCTCCTACCACCTCCCCAGGAGGGGTATTTCACACTTGCTCCCCACCCCCTGGTGGCTGGCCCCACTGCAGGGTCTCCCTCACCCTGCCCGCCTCCCACTATCCTCCTATTCCCCAGATGGTGAAAAGGGTCCTGTCGGTGGGGGCCCAGGCACAGGTACAGGGAGGGTAAGGTTGGGTGCATGCCCTGCAGCATCCCGGGGAGGGGCCTGGTGGCAGCCCTCCCCGCCCAGCTGCCAGAGGGGTGGCTCAAGTGCTGGTGGCTCAGAGGGGGGCTCTTGGCCACCCCTGATCTGTGTACTGAGGGTGCAAAGGTTACAATCTCTTGGGGGGTCGCCTGTCCACCATGGGTTGCAGCTGCAGGCCCACAGGAAGGGGAGACTGATTTCCCCACCCTGGTCATGGCCAAAATTTTTATTTTGCACTGGGCCCTATAAATTATGAAGCCTGCCTTGTCGGCTGGTCACTTCACCTAAGGATGTGCCTCCTGGACATCTGTGGAGCTTAAGGCTGCTGAGACCTAAAAGAGGCGGGGAGGAAAAAAAAAAAAAAAGGAGAGAGAAGAACCACCCTTGAATCGGGCATCCATCATGCGTGGTCCTTCTAGGCACCTGTTCTCCCTAGAACTCACGGCACAGCATTCCCAGCCCTTGACAAGTGCCTGACTCCGGAAGGTCCCGAGTATCTGCTCGCTGTGGGCAGTGGTGATGGAGCCTTGGGGGGCCAGAGCTGGAAAGAACCTGACTTTTCTCTGGTCCCACTCCCTGCCCCATGGCAGCAGGCACTGCCCCCCCCACCTCCCCAGGCCTAAGGCTTCAAGCTAAAAAAACACTTACATGAAATAGCAGCTCCTAGGAAATGATTTGGGACTTGGAATGAGGCCCGTGGTTACTTAGTGCCTCGCCCCCACCCCGGAAATGAACTTAGCGGTGGAATACACAGCATTTCAATGAAAGGGCAGAGGAGCCTAGACGTGAGAAATAGCTGACACGTCTATTTTTTCTAAGACATCCCCAAAACAGGCTGCCCATAGAAAAGTGAGGTTCAGCTAGGAAAAATGCAAAACACAAGGCTGTCTGGGGAAAGGCACCCAAACCACCCAACCTTGACCGGGCAGGACAGATTCAGCTCATCCCACTGAGGTGATCACGGGAAGTCAGGCAGGAAGAGGCAGGGGAGGTGAGGAGAAGGTGGGCTCGTCACCAGTATGCACCTCCTGTCAGGCAGGCACCTCCCCGCCCCCACCGGAGGGACTCAGGAAAACAGGGAACCCATTAGGCTTGGGGGTGGGGAGAAGGACAAGGACCCCCATCTTCCCAGGGGAAAGAACTTTCCATACAGCAGGAATTCTGTAAATGTTAAGGCCACTGGCCACCCGCTCTTCTA